AAATGATCGCTGTCATGTAAGTCTGGTAGAACAGACCAGGCGAAGTCTAGTGCAGTGGAGGAAGAGCAGACCGATAGATCGATGCAAGAGAGAGTACGAGTACGAGGATCAAAATGGGTGGGAGTACCCGTATTTAAAACGTGGAGGGGGGTGAGAGGCGAGAAAAGCCTCCAATTGGATGCCACGTGAGTCACAATGAGGACCCCCCCCCCCCCCCAGAGGAAATGGTGGGCATTAAAATTGCCAAGTAACAGATGTGGTGGTGGTAAGGATGAAACAAGAAAGGCAAAATCTGGGATAGAAAATGCCCGAGAAGGAGAGAGATATAAAGAACATATTGTAAACCACTTATTCAAGTGGATACGGGCTGCAATGTAATGCAGCGAGGTATGGACAAATAGTTGACAGTACGGAATATCATTGCGTAGAAGAAGAGCACTTTCATTAAAGGTCCCATCTGAGAAAGGATCTGAAGAATACAATAAATTATAGCCTGAGATAAGTTGGAAAACAGCCGAGTGTAATTTTGGTTCTTGTAAGCAAACACCAACAGGGAAAAACCTGGAAAGCAACATCTGAAGCTCACCCCGATTACCCCTGAGGCCCTGGATATTACACTGTAAATAGGCCATGATTGGCAACGAGGAAAATACCAGGAATCCGTAGGGAAGGGCACCTACGGACTAGAGGGGTTAGAAAAGTCTACGTGTGGTGGCATCGGAAGACGTTCAAACAGCGAAGGAACAGAGCGTTGCGAAGAATGGAGTTGTGGAGATGGAGGAGAGGGAAGAGAAGGAACAAGAGGTGGATCAGTGTCCATTGAAGGTTTAGTCTCTGCAATATATTCTGAAATAGCATCAAGTGTTTCTGAATTCAAAGATGTTGTATGGGAGACAATATTGGAGATAGAAGGAGGAGGAGGGTGAGTAAAGATTGGGACAGTAATGGACTGTACTAAAGTAGGGGGGGACAAAAGTGTGTTGGGACCTGGAGAAGTGTGGGAGGGGACAGAAGAGGCAGAAACCTGGGAGGCAGCAGAAGAGAGAGAGACTTGGGAGGGGACAGGGGAGGGAGGCACAAAACGAGGAGGGGGGTGAACTTTTGGACTTCTGAGAAGTAGAGGGGCGATTGGTAGAAGGTGTCGTACGAGATCTTGTCGATGCTGGGGCTTGTGAGTGAGAACTCAAAGATGTCAGAACAGACTGACGTCTGAGCCCAGGACAGCAAAAGAATTAGATACAGAAGTGACTATGGGAGGGGTAACAACAGAGGAGGCTGCAGAAGATGGGACCCCAGAAGTGGGGGGACATTTTGAAACACGAGAATAAGAAACACAGGGTAGTCTCCCTTGGAGGCGGAGATGAGAAACTGCCATAGCATAAGGGAGACCTTCTGCTTCTTTGAGGCAACGGATTTCACACTCATTTAAGTAGTAGACCTGGCAATGACGAGAGTACGAAGGGTGAGCCTCATGACAATTAAGGCAAGAGGGAGGTCGACTGCAAGACGTATTAGAATGGTCGTCAGCACCACAGACTGGGCATTCAGCTATAGCTCTGCAATATTTCGCTGGGTGACCAAAACGCCAGCAATTTGTACACTGTTGCAGTGTAGGGATCACCTTTCGAACTTGTAACTGATGTCCTGCGACATAAACAGAGGACGGGAGTTCACGGCTGTCGAAAGTTAATCGAGCCACATTGCAAGGGTATCGTCTCCGCCCGCGGGCAGGAAGGACGTAAGTGTCTACTTTGAGGATTGGGAGATCCTGGAGTTCCAGCTGTTCAAGAATGCCATTGCCACATGTCTGGATATTCTGTTGGACTATGGTATGGGGCAGAATGACAGTACCACTACAAGAATTGAGAGAAAGATGTTTTTCAACAGTGATAGGAGTAGTATCAATATGCGAAAGAAGAGAAAGATCATGAGCTTGGGTAGCATTCTGGACAGAGACAATGCGCGTACCGCTCTTGACAGCATGAAATGAAATATCTCTACCAACATGGCGTAGGAGCGCTTTGCCAAAACTATGGTCGGAAAGATAGGCAGTAGAAGAAGTCGGTTTTAAAGTAAAGAATTTAGTCCATTGTGTGGTCCGAAACTGAGCGTGGAGAGGGAGTGCATGACGTGTCGGTCTTTTCCGAGTAGAGTAGAATGGGAAGGTAACGAAGTAGCATCATCAGGAGATTGTCGTTGGTGTTTAGGAGTGGGACCGGAGTTGGTCCGACGTGAAATGGGCTGGCGATTTGATAATTGCCGCACTGTAGAGGGAGAGGCCAGAAGCATAGTCAAAGGAGAGCGGAGGTCAGACAAATTGAAGGAGTCAGTCGAAACCCTGGTACCTGAAGTGGGTGAGGAAACAGCACCAGCAAGAGGTACAGGGGCAGCAGGAGTGTCCGAAGAGTGGTCAAAAAACGAGGCAGGGTCAGAATGGGGTGCGGTATCAAGAAGGGGCCCGGGGGTAGTAGGTTCATGGACTGGGTGCTCCATGGTTAGGTTACTTCTTTTCTTTTTGTTTTTAAGAAAAAAAATAAAAAAAAATAAAAAAAGGGGGGAGTGGGGAGGAATAGTTCCCAGGAGGAATGAGAGGGCCAGAAATCTCCCTCCGCGCCCAAGAGGACCTCAGTACCGCAAGTAGCGCAGATGCAGCATGGAACCCATGCCATACCCTACCCTTCATGCCAGTAAACCAGCAATCCGGGATAGCAACCTCACATCTGCCGAGCTACCTCGGTGTACAAAAGAGAGGGCGGCTGGATATCCGCCACAAAGCATACCTTCTTCGGCCACCAGCCCCGGAATCCGAAAGGTGGCTTTCAGAGATATGCCCGTCGCCTGAATGACACCCAAAGCTACCCTCCGGGATACCGGAGAGGGATCGGGACATCCCATCCCCAGGTGATCCAAATTCCACGGCAAACTACGCCACCGCCAAGAGCCTCGACGGAATGGGATGGACCCTGGTACCCTTTCCCCTAGGAACTAGCGTGCCTGTGGGAAAAATCCCAAAGAGGAAGGGCAAAAGGGAGGGGTGGGGAGGAAAGGAAAAAGGCGAGGATTGGGGGGTAATTAGGTTCGGTCTGAGGAAGGAGACTGACAGGTCTAATTCCTCAGATCAACAGCCTCTTCACCATGCCAAGGAGCCCCCCTTGAAGAGGTCCATAAGAACAGAAGTAGAGGGAAGGTTTAAAGAAAAAAAAAACTAGGGCAGCTCCTAGGAGAAAGAGCAAGAGACTATATATTCCCCTCTGTGTCCAAGAGCAGGTAGTGCTGATGCTGCATGGAAACTGCTCCATTTCCTATCCTTCATGCCAGTAATACAGTACTACAGGATGCCACCTCCTGTATCAACTGAGCCAGGCATAGCCAACAAGAAACAGGCAACCAGAAACCAGCCAAGAGTCATACCACCTTTGGTTGACACTTCCTGGCTCCAACAGGCAGCCTCCAGGGATACCTCCTATCACATAATGACACACAAAACTCCTAACCAGGACCCTGAAGGATGGCCCAGCATATCTACAGATGATCCAATTCCCACAACTACTGAGGTCCTCAACAGAATGGACAATGATCCTTGATCCTTTTCCCCCAACCCAGCAGCCATAATTTGCAAGGGAAATATCCCCAAAGGCAGAATGGAAAGGAGAGGTAGAGTATTTAGATTTAATTTGAAGTAAAAAAAAAGTACAATTCCTTGGATTAAGAGCCCTTCACCAAACCATGGCACCTCCACTTGAAAGGAAAGTAGGTATTTGTAGCCACATGAGCTAAGCTGTATCCTATCTTTAGTATTTAGTCTAATGTAGTGTAAAGAATTTGGAGAGTATGTAGCACTTAATATTGTTCTTCCATTGTTCTACCACTGTCTGCAAAGACTTTCTAGTATGTATGCAGTAGCTCTTCTTGATGAGAAATGAGGAATTACAGACTTTCATGCATAGGAATACACATGTGTAACTTGCTTAATTTGTCTTCTCTGCCAAAAGCATCCCCTGGTATTGAATAAGTCTGGATAGTAGACCCATTACGTATTTCTAGTTTACAATTCCCTACCACAAATGATATCTGCCCACAGGACTAAAATTCTTTTCATAAAATACAGGTAAATTAACATGAATATAGTATAGCCAGTCATGGAGTATCTTTATAACAATTCCTAGAGGTTTTCCTGGGAAAATAAGTCTTCCAAAATATGATACTGTACCTTCTGAAAATTCATAGGTTATTAAGGCTCTTTAATCTTTTGCTGATCATTTAATGTTTCTAATGGAACTCCTCTGTCTGACATGATGTGGTTCAGAGATGATGAAGAGTGGTGGGGTGGGAGGGGGAGGGGGTCTCACTTTATTCTACACCAACATTTTCATTAACAAAGACTCATTAGGCCATAATTTTCTATTATCCAACACAATTCAGAAAAAAAAAAAAATTCACCATTTTCTTGGTTTTATTTGTAAAGAATGAACAAAGATGAATTTCAAATTGATCCGTGCTGGAGTAAGTGCTCAAATTTAGTAAGCTTTGTCATAAATAATGAATTTCTTGGTGTACTTAAAATCTTTGATATGTGGCTTGCCTATGTCAGTAGGCCTTTGTGCTGTTGGGAAGTTTATGTCTTTGATATACAATTTGTTTTGGTTTATGTGACTTATGCAGTGATGAAGCAAGGGAGTGGGTGGTGAGGGGGGGGGGGAACCATCTCTCCCCTCCACTCAGTGATGTGATGAGAAAGCATGTTGGTATGGATCATGAATCAAGAATGGACAATAAAGAAACTACTACAAAACCATAGGGCAGAAGTCTGTGCTGCTTAATCTGTAGAAGAATGTCATAAAAGGCAATCAAAATTTTTCATATACAGTACTGCATGGTATAAAAATGAAAACAGCTCAGACTTTGCCAGTCATCTATAAAAAATAAGTAATGAGGAAAAACTTTTTGTCTTTGCTGAAACCGCATAGGGGAGACTTTGCTATTCACAAGTATACATACAATTATGTACCGTTTTTATTCAATAAAAAACAATTTCACTTGTGGGTTGCCAATATACAGACCACTTCTACACTTCTTCCTACTCTCTAAACTACTCTCTTGAGAAGTGACATCATTACATTCAGGTAAAAATAGACAAGTATTATGGAACACATACTTATGCAATTAGTGGTCACACTATATTCACAAAAATGTCAATCGGACTCCTTCTGGACTCAATTCACATATGTGCTTTTATATGGCAGTCTTTCATGGTTGTATTCACACAAGTATTTGGCAGGAAACTGTGTATAAGAGGAGTTGATATCACAAAGGCAAATAAACAATATAAACTACCCAGTTTTGGTCAATTGTATAAAACATTGCATAAGTGCAGCAGTTCAAATATTGAACATTTGTGCATGAATTAAGACAATAGAAGGATTAAACTAAAATAGCAGGTCAGTCATCTGGTCCTTTCAGTATGTTATACAAAATTGCACTGGCAAAAATTAAATTCAATTAAAATTTACATGATGGTAAATACAACTCTCACTCCTTTCATTTAGAAAAAATTCTAAAGGTATATATATAGATATATATATATATATATTTATATTTATATATAAGAAAAATATTCAATACAGCCTCCACATTCAGTTTTTTGTGAGTACGTATACACTTCACTATCCCCAAACCCTCACAACCAGTGCTCTCTTGCTCCACTCTTTACTAATGTGGGGCAAATTTTTCAATAAATAATAAAGGAAGTATCAGTGTTCAAACCTTACTGTACAATAAATAATAAATACATTCTCACTGGCTCATTACCATCTCATGGAAATTTTCCGCATATAAAGAAGCTGTAATATGTTCATAGTCTTGTACAAGGCTAATTGTACTTGGTGACTTCATCCTACTATTCAATCTAAAGGCATAATTAACAAGTAGTTTGTTCCAGTACTTGAAAAAAACTTCATGGTCACAGCATAAAAGTTGCCTTTGTTTTGTCCCACCAAAGGTATTGCAATTCGGGGCTTTTTGAGTCAATGCAATCATTGGTGCAAAATAACATCCTTATCTAATGTATTGCTTGGAATAAAAATATTTTTTACTATGTGTACTCTTATTCAAAAAATTTCTTTAATATAAAGGTCACTTTAGCATCACTATATACTGTATCATCCACTTTTCTAATCAATGCATCCACACAAATTTGCCTTAACAGTATGCAACATGTGTTCTGTGCACCAATAAATTTATTATGGGGTCCTTGCATTAATGCACCAATAACTACTATACAAGAAAATCTGGGTCACTATATTCACTATCATCATCTGAATCACTGTTTCTCCTTCGTTTTTTCTTTTTCTTGTGTTTTTTATGGCTGGAAGATCTATGGGAGGAACGATGGTGATGATGGTGGGAGCGATGTTCTCTCGGAGTCACCTGTGATGTTCGTATAGTGATGGGTTTGATAGGAGAACGGCGGGGAGGTAATTGCTCCTCAGTCTTAGTTTCTAGTACAGAATTGTCCACTGTATCGAGTACTTCAGGAGTTAGTTCTGCTTTACCCTTGGGCTGATCCTGTAGATAGATCAATTTTAACGAGTGAATCCTAATTACATTAAATCACATCAAATTTTTTTTTAAATAGTGTAAATAGATTAATAAAACAGAAAATTGGCAATCAAGTAAATGCATTTAACTGGCATCAATACATTTTTCAATGTAAACTAACACAAATGATTAGAACCCTAAATGTGATACTGGAAATAGAAATATAATGAATCCCTGCCATTACAGAATAAATACTTTCATAATGTTTAATTGAAAAATAATCTGAAAGCTTATCTTCATTGAGTAAGTAAAGCAGAAGAAGCAAGTAAGATTAGTTTTATGAGTATCAAATTCTGAAACAGTTACCAATTAACATCAAAACTACAAATTTAACATGGATTGAAAAGAAAAGGATATTTTTAATCTGAAAAGATGATTTTGTCTGTAAAACTGATATGTTAAAAGAAGAAATTTGTAATTACAGACTTATAGGCAGTAATACAAGTTTATCTAGTTAGCAGGACAGCATAAAACAATACTAAAAACAATTAGACACAGAGGGGAAATAAGAAAGGATGCTGGTGAAAGTTTTCACCAATGCTAATGAATCACAAAACAAACCCTACAAACACACCAAGCCTCACCTTCCATCCGTCGTGAGTGCCAGGCAGCAATGGAACATCGCTAGCATTCTGTGGGTAGAACTTACGTCAGTGACCAACAACAAGCAGTTGCCCCGCCACCAAGCCTTACACTCACCATTCTTGGGCTTCCACCCAAAACTCCCATTTAGTGGACAAGATAGTTACTTTTGATTATGCAATGTGTCTTTCATTGTAGGATTCTAGGAAAGAGGTTTCAGAATGCTGGCATGTCTGTATTTTAACATTCTCGGTTAATAATTCACTATTAACTTATTAAAAACAAAGCACAAAGAATGCCATGCATATTACTGAATATTCATGTTGATACTGTTTTAAAGCAGCAATAAAATATAGACTAGCTCTTCCCTTCAAGGGCCATCAAAAAATGCAATACTCTAACCCCATTAAATTAATGTATTTTCCATTTGCAAAATACTGATAAATTTACCTGCTGATATTAATTAGAATTTATAATTCTTTAATACACTATATAAATGGGAGAGCAATGGGTGTAGAGTTCTTATAGTTGTGGTGTTTTGACTGTCCCTTACAGAAGTTACAACACTGAACTCAGGCAGTTAGATTAAAAACTCACACTGCAAATAGTGAGGTGAAGTAAAAAGCCTTGCTAAGTTATCAGCTCAATTACTTACTTACATACATACATACATACATATTCTTCTTCTTTCAACACACCGGCCGTATCCCACCAAGGAAGGGTGGCCCAAAAGGAGAAACAAAAGCTTCTCCTTTTACATTTAGTAATATATACAGAAGGGGTTACTAGCCCCTTGCTCCTGGCATTTTAGTCGCCTCTTACAACACGCATGGCTTACGGAGGAAGAATTCTCTTCCACTTCTCCATGGAGGTAAGAAGAAATGAACAAGAACAAGAACTAGTAAGAAAATAGAAGAAAACCCAGAGGGGTGTGTATACATATGCTTGTACATGTATGTGTAGTGTGACCTAAGTGTAAGTAGAAGTAGCAATATGTACCTGAAACACTGCATGTTTATGAGACAGAAAAATGGACACCAGCAATCCTACCATCATTTAAAACAATTACAGGCTTTTATTTTACACTCACTTGGCAGGACGGTAGTACCTCCCTGGGCGGTTGCTGTCTACCAACCTACTACCTATATACATCTATATATACATGTATATATATTTTTTTTTCAACAAACTGGCCGTATCCCACCAAGGCAGGGTGACCAAAACAGAAAAACACCAAAAGAAATAAAGAAAAACTTTCATCATTCAACACTTTCACCATCATTCATACAAAATCACTGACTTTGCAGATACGACACTTTAGATATCACTCCAAAGAGCCAATATCCCAAACCCCTTCTTTAAAGTGCAAGCACTGTACTTCCAACCTCCAGGACTCAAGTCAAGCTAACCAGTTTTCCTGAATCCCATCACAAAATATTACCCTGCTCACACTCCAAAAGCAACTACCCAGGGAAGTACTACCATCCTGCCAAGTGAGTGTAAAATGAGAGCCTGTAATTGTCTTACATGATGGTAGGATTCCTGGTGTCTTTTGTCTGTCTCAAACATGCAAGATTGCAGGTACAGGTATGTCTTGCTACTTCTACTTACACTTAGGTCACACTACACATACATGTACATAGTTTGTTTATACACTCATCTGAGTTTTCTTTGAATTTATCTGAATAGTTCTTGTTCTTATTACTTTTCCTTTTATATCCATAAGGAAGTGGAATAAGAATCTTTCCTCCGTAAGCCATGCATGTTGTAAAAGTCAACTAAAATGCCAGGAACACTAGGCTAATAACCCCTTTTCCTTCATAGCCTACTAAAAAGATAAAGAAAATTGTCAAAGTGGGAAGTCTGAATGTGCGTGGATGTTGTGCGAATGATAAGAAAGAGATTATTGTGGATGTTATGAATGAGAAGAAGCTGGATATCCTGGCTTTAAGTGAAACAAAGCTGAAGGGGGTGGGAGAGTTTCAGTGGGGAGAAATAAACGGGATTAGGTCATGGGTTTTGAAGAGAGTCAGAGCTAAAGGAGTAGCAATAATGTTGAAGGATAAGCTATGGTAGGAAAAGAAGGAATATAAATGTATTAATTCAAGGATTATGTGGAGTAAAATAAAGGTTGGATGTGAAAAGTGGGTTATAGTAAGCATATATGCACCAGGAGAAGAAAGAAGTGTAGAGGAGAGAGAGAGAGATTTTGGGAAATGTTGAGTAAATGCATGGGGAGTTTTGAACCAAGTGTCAGAGAACTTGTGGTTGGGGATTTCAATGCTAAAGTGGGTAAAAATGTTGTGGAGGGAGTAGTAGGTAAATTTGGGGTGCCAGGGGTAAATGAAAATGGGGAGCCTTTAATTGAGTTATGGGTAGAAAGAGGTTTGGTAATAAGTAATACATATTTTATGAAAAATAGGATAAATAAATATAAAAGGTATGATACAGCACATAATGAAAGTAGTTTGCTAGATTATGTATTGGTGGACAAAAGGTTGATGGGTAGGCTCCAGTGTGCATATGTTTATAGAGGGGCAACTGATATATCGGATCAATGTTTAGTTGTAGCTACAGTCAGAGTAAGAGGTAGATGGGACAAGAAGAAAATGGCAACAACAAGTAAGAGAGAGGTGAAAGTGAATAAACTAAGGGAGGAGGAAGTTCGGGCGAGATATAAGCAACTATTGGCAGAAAGGTGGGCTAGTGCAAGAATGATCCCATCAGCTGGAACTGATGGGATCATGACAGAAATGTTAAAAGCTGGGGGATATATTGTGTTAGAATGGTTGGTATTTTTGTTTAATAAATGCATGAAAGAGGGGAAGGTACCTAGGGATTGGTAGAGAGCATGTATAGTTCCTTTATATAAAGGGAAGAGGGACAAAATAGATTGTAAAAATTCTAGAGAAATAAGTTTACTAAGTATACCAGGAAAAGTGTACGGTAGGGTTATTATTGAAAGAATTAGAGGCAAGATAGAATGTAGAATAGTGGATGAGCAAGGAGGTTTTAGAGTGGGTAGGTGATGTGTAGATCAAGTGTTTACATTGAAGCATATATGTGAACAGTACTTAGATAAAGGTAGGGAAGTTTTCATTGCATTTATGGATTTAGAAAATACATATAATAGAGTGGATAGGGGAGCAATGTGGCAGATATTGCAAGTATATGGAATAGGCAGTAAGTTACTAAATGCTGTAAAGAGTTTTTATGAGGATAGTGAGGCTCAGGATAGGGTGTGTAGAAGAGAGCGAGACTACTTCCCGGTAAAAGTAAGTCTTTAGACAGGGATGTGTAATGTCACCATGGTTGTTTAATATATTTACAGATAGGGTTGTAAAAGAGGTAAATGCTAGGGTGTTCGGGAGAAAGGTGGGATTAAATTATGGGGAATCAAATACGAAATGGGAATTGACACAGTTACTTTTTGCTGATGATACTGTGCTTATGGGAGATCCTAAAGAAAAATTGGAATGATTTGTGGACAAGTTTGGGTGTGTGTGTAAAGGTAGAAAGTAGAAAGTGAACATAGAAAAGAATAAGGTGATGAGGGTATCAAATGATTTAGATACAGAAAAATTGGATATCAAATTGGAGAGAAGGAATATGGAAGAAGTGAATGTTTTCAGATATTTGGGAGTTGACGTGTCAGCGGATAGATTTATGAAGGATGAGGTTAACTATACAATTGATGAAGGAAAAAAGGTGAGTGGTGCATTGAGGTATATGTGGAGACAAAAAACGTTATCTATGGAGGCAAAGAAGGGAATGTATGAGAGTATAGTGGTACCAACACTCTTATATGGGTGTAACGCTTGGGTTGTAAATGTTGCAGCGAGGAGACGGTAGGAAGCAGTGGAGATGTCCTGTCTAAGGGCAATGTGTGGTGTAAATATTATGCAGAAAATTCGGAATGTGGAAATTAGGAGGTGTGGAGTTAATAAAAGTATCAGTCAGAGGGCTGAAGAGGGATTGTTGAGGTGGTTTGGTCATTCAGAGAGAATGGGTCAAAATAGAATGACATGGAGAACGTATAAATCTGTAGGGAAAAGAAGGCGGGGCAGAGGTTGTCCGCGAAAAGGTTGGAGGAAGGGGGTATAGGAGGTTTTGTGAGCAAGGGGCTTGGACTTCCAGCAAGTGTGCACGAGCGTGTTAGATAGAAGTGAATGGAGATGAATGGTATTTGGGACCTGACGAGCTGTTGAGTGTAAGCAGGGTAATATTTAGTGAAGGGATTCAGGGAAACCAGTTATTTTTATATAGCTAGACTTGAGTCCTGGAAATGGGAAGTACAATGCCTGCACTTCGCAAGCCCCTTTCTGAAACTGTCATTCTATGTCGAAAAATTTTTTTTTGAAAAAAAAAAAAAAAAAAATGAAATGAAATGATAGAGAATCTTTTCCCGATGATAATGACACAAAAAGTACGAAATTTGGTAAAAAACTCGCGGAATTACACTGCCGCGAAGTTAGCGGTCTCGGCAACATATACGTATCGGCGATTTCGCGAACTTTGAGCCCTGTTTTTGGCCAATTCCGTTGTTCCAATTGACCAAACTCATAGCTATTTCTTTAGAACTCCATTTTTTCTATCAATTGAGTACAAGAAACCGCCCATTTACCAATTTGAACTACCCAATGAAGTGGTCAGAAATTGGCAATTTGGCCAATTTCACGCAAATTAAAAAAGATGCCAATTTCAAAATAGGGTTCAGAATAAACAATGTAGACATTCTTGGAACTAAAATTCCATATCCTCTGTTCATTAGTCATGTCTCTAGGCCCCTCTTATATTACTATTGCTTTCTATTTTAAAAAAATACAAAATTTACTTTTATGCAGACTACTGCATTATTGTAAAAATGGTATAAATAATATCAGTGCACTAGTGAAAAAACATTAGACTCCCCAGTTGACGTGTATTGGACGTGTGGTGTTATTTGCTTACTCCCGAACATTGGTAAAAATCGAACATTTCCACTACTTTGACCTCAATTTCAAGGTACTAGTTTTAATCATGAAACTAATCAAAATTATCTCTATTTCTG